TTCGGGGGGACTGTGGGCTCCCCGAGTCTCTGCGCCAGCAGCACCTCCCTGTGGGTGCTGGGGGGTGGCTGAGGAGACGGCAACCCTGAAAGAAAAGCTCCTGCTGTCCTCTGGCTTTCAGAGGTTGCCGCCTACCTTGGTTCCCTGCCGGGCCAGCTTTCAAGGTCCCTTTTCAACATCTCGTTTGTATCGAATTGCCTTCTCCATCCGGCTCTCCGCTCCCCTTTCAGAACCGAGGCGGTCATCCGCAAGGTTCCCCTGCCCCCTCGGAGAGGCTCCTCTGGTCCCTGCCTTGGGCTCCTGGGCCCAGCCTGCGCGGGGCTGCGGGGCGGAGGGCAGGGGCCGTGGGAGGAGGGGAACCAGGGATCGCACATCTCGGGGAAAGGCTTTATCCCGGAGAAGCATCAAGTCATGAGTTCAGGACCAGCTTAGCTAATTGCGTTGGTGTTTCTCTTGAAATGGGAGCTGTTAGTCTTGCATGTTTCGGAGATAGTTGTGGTTTAGGAACCTAGTTTAGTAGAAACGCTGCCTTAAACGGGCACAACTGCCGCTGTTGTGCTGCCTCTACTCCCAGGGATTTAATTGGTTGGCCACACACGAGCAATAACCCGGAGCTTTGCTCTCGCCACCCTCCCCCGGATGCTCGGCTCTCATCTGTGCTTTCAGGCTTGACTTCTCCCGTCCAAAGTGCATTACGAAGCTCAGCCCGGGGGCTGCAGGCTGCCCCCACCCCCAGCCAGCTTCATTTTTCTGCAAGAGGTGACTAATTTGGTAACAAAAGACGTGGCTTAACAAGGGCGGCCTCGGGGGCTTGGCTCCGGCGTACCTACCTCTGCTCTGGGTGGAGCGTGTTTGTTTTGTGTGCTCTTCCCAGCCCCCTCCGCGCCGTGTTTTACATCCATCGATGTCAGTGCTCCGCCCCTGGAAATGTGTTTTATGAGCGAGGAAGGGAAGAGCTTCTGTGAGAGCCCTGGTTCCTTTCAGGCTCCCAGACCGTGATTCATCCCTTCGGGTTGGTTTTTGGTTTTTTGTTTTTTTTTTTTTTTCCTGTTTTGTTTTTACATCCTGACTTGAGAATGTAAGAAATCAAATCCCAAAGCTCTCGCTTAGAAATGGCTGAGATTTCCCAGCCTGGAGTCTACAGACCTCATCACTGTGGTGGTTTTTATATCCGTATCTCAAAGTGTCTTTGGTAAAGCAGCCTCGTGGAGCTTGCGTCCGATGGGACCCCACAGAGCCAAGGGACGGATCGTTATCGGACACGCGGGACTGTCACACCGGCTCCGGTCACTCGGGAACTCTGCCGCTGCCTGCCTGGGACGCGTGCCTGTCGCTCGAAGGATGTTGTCTTAATTTCTCATTAAAATGACACAGAGCCACAGGGCAACAGCCACAGACTTGGGCGCCCTTCTTCAGGAGGACCCCCCACGCTGCCTCCCCGTGACTGGCGCCGCCTTAACCCTCGGGACTGGCCCTGTAGCCCGGGTCAGCTCCTCCGTTCCGCTGTCTTCAAGCACAAGCAACGCAGCCGGGAGCCCCAGAGCCGCTCTGCAGCCATCCTGGGTTACGCGTCCGTCGGGGCAGGGGCGGCAGTAGGCTCCGGAGCACGGCTCTGACTCTGCAGCGGGGAGATGGGTCTGGGCTTTGTCCCCTGCGGCACCAAGCAGCCTTTGTAAAGCGAGAGGGAGCTGCAGCAGGGGCTGGATCTGCCCCTGCCTGCCCTTTGCTGCCTGCCGGGGGCTGCCCTGGGCTGCCCCAGGCCTGCGGGGTCAGAGCTGCCTGTGGCCCCGCCGCGTCTTTGTTGGCGTTGAGTCGTCGTCTGCGTGAACACAAAGGACCAAAGGACCAAAACTCCCGATTTTCCTTAGCAGCTGGGAAGGGCGCAGTCCCTGGGCACCCCCAAGCCGGGCTGGAAGCCGTTGGGAGCTGCTGCCTGGGACCACTGGTACTGGGGTGGGGTGTTTGGTGGGAGAGCGCCGAGGGGAGGCTGAGCTGATCAATAAAACAAGCTGAAGCATTTTGATCTTGAATTCTCCTGGGTTTTAAATTGAAAAAAAAAAAAAAGACGGGTAAGCCTTGCCCAGCCCCTGGGCTGTGGCTCCTGGGGGGGGCAGCGGCGTCTGCCTTGCTCCGTACCCGCAGGGCGTTAAGTTTCAGGAGGAAAAAAAGAGGCGTTTGTGCTTTCTTTGGGATTTGCTTCTCTCCGCTGCTGGCGGGGAGGCTGCGATCGATCCGCCTGCCGCCATTGCAGACGGGGCCGGGCTCGGGGATTCAGACCCCCTCA